GACACGGGGGCTCCGGGATACAGGGCCAGTGAGACACTGGAACACCGGGAGATGGGGACATGGGGTCAGTGGGGCCGCGGCGGAGCCTCCAGGCGCAGCCCCAGCCGCGTCCTGTCAGGAGCCTCCCAGGCCCAATCCTGCCATCCCGGCCCAGCCCAGTCCCCTTCCGAGTACCAGTCCCAGTCCTTGTCCCAGTCCCAATCCCGATCTAATCCTAATCTCAATTCAATCCTAATTCTAGTTCCAGTCCAATTTAGTCCTGGTCCCACTCACAGTCCTGTCCAGTCGAAATCCCAGTCCCAGTTCCCACCTAGTCTCTACCCAGTCCAGTTCTGGTCCCAGTCCCAACCTCAGTGTGGTCCTGCCCATCTAGTCCAAACCCCAGTTCCATTTCCACTCCAGTCCAGTCCAGTCCAAGTCCCAGTTCCAGTTCTGGTCCTAGTCCTAGTCCACTCCCAGACCACTCCAGTCCCTTCCCAGTCCAACCCAATCCCATTCCAGTCCAAGCCCAAATCCAGTCCAATCCTGGTCCCAGACACAAAGATCAGTCCCAGTCCAGTCAGGGTCCCATCACTGTCACAGTCCAGCCTAATCCCAGTCCCAGTCATGGTGCTGGTCCCAGTCCCAGTCCAGTCTCACTGCAGTCCAGTCCAGTCCTAGTCCCAATCCAGTCCTGGACCAAGTCCAGTCCAGGGCCAAGTCCCTGTGCCAGTTCAGTCCAGTCCAGACCCAATCATGATGCTGGTCTGGGTGCCGGTCCCAGTTCCAGTTCAGTCCCAGTTCAGTTCCAGTCCCAATCTGAGTTCCAGTCCCAATCCCACTTCCAGTCCAGTCCCAGTCCTAATCCCAATCTGTCCCGATCCCAGTTCTAGATCCAATCCCATTCCCAGTCCAGTCCTAGTTCAAATCTCACTCCCAGTCCCATTTCAATCCCACACAGTTAATTCCTGGTTCCAGTCTAGTCCTGGCCCTAGTCCGGTCCCAGTCCCGTTTCATCCGAGTTCAATCCCAGTCCCAGTCCCCTCCCAGTCCCGCCGCCCCCGGGCTCTGTCCCAGGTGCTGAAGCTGTCGCCGGCCTCGGCTCGGCTCCGCCGCTGGGCCGCGACCGCGGGGACCGACCGGACCCGAATGGACCGACCGGACCCGAATGGACCGACCGGACCAGCTGGACTGACCGGACTGACCGGAGCCGACCAGACCGACAGGACCGACCGGCCCCAACGGCTTTGAATGGACCCGAACAGACCCACTGGACCCAAACGGACCTGAACAGACCGACCGGACCCAAATGGACCCACCAGACCCCAGCGGACCGATCGGACCCGCCAGACCCGAGCGGACTGGAATGGACCGGCCGGACCAAGCGGAGCTCAGCCGAGCCGGGCGGGGGGTCTGTGGGGCACGGGGGGGCTGTAGGGCTGGCGGACACCGTGCGCTGCAGGGGACACTGTGGGGTGCAGGGGAGGGCTGGGAGGGAGGGGGGGTCTGTGGGGCAGGACAAGCTCTGACCCCTCCAGCTCCCCCCCGTCCCATGGTCCAGTCCCCGCCCCCGCGGGCACGACAGCCAATCGGATGGGCGCTCTGCCGTGACGGACAGGCCTGCCCCGCCCCCCGGGGATGGGCAGGGAACACTCCGGGGCCGGGGGGCAACCCGGGACCCCCCCCGGGCGGGATGATCGAACCCCACTCCTCGTTCGGGGCCGGGGCCGCCCCCTCCGTGCCCCCCCGGCGGTCCCTGGGACGTTCTCCCTGGTTCGACCCCCCCGCCGTGCCGCGGCACCCCCCCCGCGCCCCCCGGTCTCCCCCGCCCCGCAGGAAGGAACCGCCTCGCCGGCACCGGGCGCGGTTTCCCGTCGCTGCGGGAGCTGCGGGCCGAGCCCCCCGCGCACCTCCGGCGGGACCCCCCCGCCGGGCCCCGGGTGACCCCGCACCCCTCCGCACCCGAACAGCGCTCCTGCCCCGGGGTCCCCGCACTCGCGACCCCCGGGACCCCCGCCCCACTGCGGGGTCACCGCGCGACTCCCCCGCCACAACTGGGGTGACGTCCCCCCACCCCGTGCTGCTTCCCAGAGTGCCCCCCAAGGGAGGGTCAGGGGGTGCACCCCCGCCTTCGCAGGGTGTCCCACCCCCACGGGTGCCTATCCGGGGGTCCCCGGGAGAGCCCGGCGCGTCAATGGCCGGAACTGGGTGGAAGCGGCGGGAAATGGGGGGGTCCCGCCGGACATCCGCCCTACGGATGGCCCGGGGGGCTGGGAGGGCCCGGGACCCCCCGGAGCACCCAATTACCCGGCACAGAGCACTGGGGGGGCACAGCTTCCTGTGGTCGGGATGGGGGTCCCTGCCACCACCACGGCCCCACAAGTGCTGCGTGTGTCCCCCACGGGTGCCATGTCCCCTCCACTGTCCTATGGGTGCGGTGTCCTCTCTCTGGGTGCCATCACTGCGTCCCCAAGGTGCCAGGCTCCCCCCGGTGCCATATGTGTCCCCAAGTGCCATCTATCCCCCCCAGTGCCATGTCCTCGCGAGCTCCATGTGTGTGCCCCGTGTGTGCCCCATCTCTGCCGCAGTGCCGTGTCCCCCCAGTGCTGTGTCCCACCTGGGTGCAATGTGTACCCCCAAGCTGCCATTTACCCTCCCCGGGTACCTCGTGTCCCCCCAGGGCCGTGTGTGCCCCCAAGTGCCACGTATGCCACCCAGTGCCACGCCACCTCCAGTGCTGTGTCCCCCCGGTGCCACGCGGGTCACCCATGGCCCCCCCAGTGCCATGTCCCCCTCATGGGTGCCATGTCCCCCACTCTGGGTGCCATCGCTGTTTCCCCATGGCCACGTACCGGGGTGCCGGGGGTCACATTGGGTCCAAAGCCCCCCGGTGGGGTCCCCAGTGTGTCCCACACGGTGGTGGCAGGGGCGGGGCGGTGGCTCTGGAGGTGACGGAGGTGGCAGTGGAGGTGACGGAGGTGGCAGTGACGGTGGCGGTGGCGGTGCCCATTGTGCGCGGGGCGGGGGCGTCGCGGCCCCGTCACCACTTCCCCGGGCCGGAGGAAGCGGGAAGCGGCCGCTCCCGGCTCAGAGGGGCCGCGATGGGGAACCTGCCGGGGGTCCTGCCCGGGGCCCCCCGCGCCTGCCCCGGCCTCGGCCTCTGCTCGCGCCCGCGCGGCCCCGCGCCCGAGGACCCTCCTGTCACCGCTGCCATCGCCGCTGTCACCGAGCCCCCCGGGTGGGTGTCCAGGTGGGATGGACGGGGTAGGATGGGACGGGGTGGACGGACGGGGCCCCGGGGCATCGGCACCCACCCTGCCGCGGCCCCGAACCTGGACGGGGACCCTCCTCCTGGCTCCCGGGACATCCCCCATGGCCGGAGCCCACTGGAGACGTGTCCCTGCTGTGGAGGTGTCCCTGCCGTGGAGGTGTCCCCGACGGGGTGGCACGCGTGGGTCACCGGGGCAGGACGCGATGCCCACCGGCAGCACAGCCCCGCTCCCACTGCCCGTGGCACCACGCCAGTGTCCCCTGTCCCACGGCGTGGCCCTGGCAGCCCTTGGGACCCGCTGGGGTGCACTGGGACGGGTTGGATTTGGGGATGGGGACATATGGGGAGGGGGTGCATGGGGTCGGGTGAGGATAGAGGCGTGGGGATCCCCAGGAGGTGTGGGGACCCCCAGCCCAGTGGGGTCAGGGATGGGAACGGGACAGGAGGTGTGTCCCCCCGGTGGCCCGGAGCCCGCTCTGACTCATGGCCATTGTTCACACTCGCACGAGGGCCAGGAACGCCCCGCGCCTCCCCATCCTCTGACCCCCTCAACTCCTGACCCCTCCGGCTCGGTCCCGTCTCCTGTTCCCCCATCCCCTAGATCCCTCTTCGGCTCAGTCCCCCCATACCCTGACCCCCAAACTGCTGCCCCCCAGTTCGGCACCCCCATCCTCTGACCCGCCCCAGCCCTTACCCTCCCCCCATCCCCATGGGGCTGAGCCGGGGGCTCAGGACACCCCCAGCAGCAACAGGGGTCGCGGAAGTCCCCACCCCCCCTCCCGCTTCCCTCGCCCGAGCCCCGGGGGTCGCAGCCCCCTCGGACTGGTCCCCACACCCCGGGGAGGTCCCGGAGTCGGAACCGCGAGAGCGGAACCGCCCCTGGGACCCCCGGCTGGCCCGCCCGTGCCCGGACAGGGCTCAGGGGTGTCCCGTGTCCCCCCCAGCCCGGCACCCGCTCACCCGGCGGAGCCCCCGCGCTTCGCCCGCCTGAAGAACTGGGAGACGGGGAGCATCAGCTACGACACGCTCTGCGCCACCGCGGGGCAGGTGCGGGGCCGGGGGGCGCGGGGGGCGCGGGGGGCACGGGGGTGGGGTTGGGGGGTGCCAAGATGGGGGAGC